CCATTTATTGTTTTGCATAGAGACTGTCCGGTTTGGCCAATGTACATGGCAGAGGGGCATTGCTGGCACATATCACATTGGTAGATGTGCAGGTGAACGAGCCCCTGATGGTGTGGCTGATATGGTTAGGTCCTATGATGATGTCCCTTGAATAGATATGCGGACAGAGTTGGCACTGGGGTTTGTTGCAGGGTTTGGTTCCTGGGTTAGTGTTTTTGTTGTGTGGTGTGTAGTTTGCTGGTGAGTATTTGCTTCAGGTTGGGGGGCTGTCTGTAAGCGAGGACTGGCTTGTCTCCCAAGGTCTGTTAGAGTGAGGGATCGTCCTTCAGGATAGGTTGTAGATCCTTGATGATGCGCTGGAGAGGTTTTAGTTGGGGGCTGTAGGTGACGGCTAGTGGCGTTCTGTTACTTTCTTTGTTGGGCCTGTCCTGTAGTAGGTGACTTCTGGGTGCCCTTCTAGCTCTGTCAATCTGTTTCTTCACTTCACCAGTTGGGTATTGTAGTTTTAAGAATGCTTGATAGAGATCCTGTAGGTGTTTGTCTCTGTCTGAGGAATTGGAGCAAATGCGGTTGCATCTCAGAGCTTGTGATGTGTTCTGGATGAAAGCTGGAGGCATGTAGGTAAGTATAGCAGTCAGTATGTTTCCAGTATAGGGTGGTGTTTATGTGACCATCACTTATTTGCACTGTAGTGTCTAGGAAGTGGATCTCTTGTGTGGACTGGTCCAGGCTGAGGTTGATCGTGGGGTGGAAATTGTTGAAATCCTGGTGGAATTCCTCAGGGGCCTCCTTCCCATGGGTCCAGATGATGAAGATGTCATCAATGTAGCTCAAGTAGAGTAGAGGCGTTAGGGGACGAGAGCTGAGGAAGCTTTGTTCTAAGTCAGCCATAAAAATGTTGGCATACTGTGGGGCCATGCGGGTACCCATAGCAGAAATCCAGTCTCTTCTTTGTACCTCACTGTCTCTACTACTTGTCTAGCCTTGGGGCTTGCATAGCTCCGCCAAATCAATGCTCAGTCCCACTACCCGCTAGCTTCTTTACATGAGAGCTGGACAAGTTTTTTTCAGCGAACAATAAATTTACAGAAAAACACCTTTTTCAGGGGCCCCAACCTATCAGCTAATAGTTTCATGTGAAAAAAACCTGAAAACAAAAATTTTGTTGAAATTTTGTTGAAATGTCAAAAAATTCATGTTGATATTTCTAAATGAACCATTTCGACATTTCATTTTGAATTGCCATTCAACACAGTTCATTTGACTCAAATGAACTGTTCATTTTTTTGTTTTGTTGAGAAATTAAAAACTTCAGTTTCCGTTTGAAATACACAGAATTTATTGATTTGGTTACAGAACTGAAAAATAAATTATTTGCTCAGCTCCACATACCCGATCCTAGTGTGGATGTAAGCCTAGCCTTCTAGAATTCTAGAAGGGGAATCCAATGTTGGGGAACATTTAGATTTACTTTTCAGTGAAGGCTTAAGTGAATTAGGCATCCAAATTCCATTGGCTTTTAATGGGATTTGGGCACCTAACTCGCTTATTCTGCTTTGAAAAGCCAAACCTCACTGTCTTATCCTGCAGCCACATGCCAATCTCTCTGATTTAGCAGAATAACTTCCTGTATGATACCATCTAAGGGAGTTATGAACACCTATCATCTGGGGAATAGACATGCAGGCTGTGGGCTGGAGAATGCCTCTGCAGCACATTCTTGGATGGCAGCGGAGGCTTGCTCCAGATTCATTAATTGCAGATTCCAGACACACTCCAGATGCCAGAAGGCGATGTTTGAATTCTGTGTGTGTATCTGTTGATTCTCCCCAGCCTTCTCAAGCTTCTGAAATCCAAACAGAACCCAGCTTCAAAAGTTGTGCTGACTATGAGCACTCTCTCTCCTCCACTTGTGAAACAGGGAGATTTGGCTAAGGTCAGTCTTGCAAGGAGTGCTGGAGCCAGAGGTGAAAGTAAGCCGGTACGGTCCAGTACGGTGTACCGGCAAGAGCCAGTACACAGCCGACCGTACCAGTAGGGGGCAGCTTCCCCAGCCCAACAATTTAAAAGGGCCCTGTGCTCCCGGCAGCGGCTGGAGACCCTGGCCCTTTAAATCGCTGCCGGAGCCATGGGGTCCCGCCGCCGGAGCCGGAGGCCCAGGGCTCCGGCAGCAATGTAAAGGGCCCAGGGCTCCCGGCAGCGGCCAGAGCCCCTAGCCCTTTAAATCACCACCAGAGCCTCGGGGCTCCTGGCCGCCGCTACCGTTACCATGAGCTCCGGTGCCAATTTAATGGGCCCGGGGCTCCAGCTGCAGTAACAGTGGCTGGGAGCCCTGGCCCTTTAAAACACTGCCAGATCCCTGGGGCTCCCGGCCACCGCCGCCGCTACCCCAGGGCTCCCGCAGTGATTTAAAGAGCCCAGGGAAGCTGCCCCCCAGGGTAGCGGCAGCGGCCAGGAGCCCTTGGGCTCTGGTGGTGATTTAAAGGGCCTGGGAATTTCAAGGCCCCGCCCCCCGAGTCCCCCCATACCTTGCTCATGACCCCGTCCCTGCGTACCGGTAAGTCCCTTAAGTTACTTTCACTCCTGGATGGAGCACTTTCCTTCTGGGAAAGTATACTCCTTGGACGATGCCTGAAGATGAATGAGGAAGACTTGGTAATCTAAAGGAAGGGAGGGAGTTGCAGATTGTCCTGGAGAGGTGCAAGTCATACAACAGTGTAGAGCTATACAAGAACATTTTAACCTCTTCTATGCCAGATCTCACTAATCTGTGCCTCTTAAACCAGTTTAGGACTACAACTTAGGTTTTGTAAAAATTAATTTTGAAAACTATAATTAGAGATAATTTCATCTCAGATGAGGAAACAGACACACGGTGGTGAAGTGACTTGCCCAAAGTCACACAAATCCGGCAGAGTTGGGAATAGAACCCATTAGATCTGTATACCAGTTTCCTATTTTAACCACTAGACAACTCTCCTTCCGTAATACAAACAGAATTATTTTCAAGACACTTTTAAAAAGTTTCATTGAAAACGGGGGATTTTAAAATATTACTCATTCCCTTGAACTGTCAGAAACTACAAACCAACAGCCAGATGCTGGTGCCTGAGAACCAGACAGCGAGGCTAACTAAACACAGAGCAAAAATAATTTAGTCTAGTTTCACTTTCTAACAGGAATGGAGCAGAAATGGGAAACAAATGGTCTGTTAAAGAGAGTAGGAGTTTCCAATGGTTTCTATTTTATAATCCTGTCACAGGAAAAACACTGAAGGGAACTGTATTGTAATATTCACTTACTGAACACGATTTATTCGGACACTGCAAGTACCAAGTCCAGCACACACAGGCAGGACTGAACATCCTGCTAAAACTCCAGGGTCAGAACAACAACAAAACAACATACAAGACAACAACTTAATACTAAGATAAAGCTATAGCACCATCTACTCATGGAGGTGCTCTCTACACTAAACATTATATTATTTAAAAATACAGGGTCAAATAAGTTCATTACTCCAGTTTGACACCTGTGTAACTCCATGGTTTCAATGAAGCCATGCTGGGGTAAAACTGAAGTAGCATAGTGGTGAATCGGGCTCTTGATTTTTTATTTTGACATGGTGCTTTTAACAATAAGGCAATTGAATTCAACAGGGCAACATGACCTGTGGCCTTTTACCAGCATTATATGGTAAATAAAGGGTTATATGAATGATGTTACGCATGGTGTGTGGTTTACTCACACAGAAAATGGTAGCTGCCCAGGTAGGCAAATATTTATGGCCATTGATTAGGGGGCATGTTCATTCAGATGATACTTCTGCTAATATTCGGTGCATCTAGATTTTAGAGATGGGTCCAGCCTCCCAGGACTGAATTCCTCTGGACTCTGGGGAAGTTCACACCCAGCTCCAAACTTCGTAGATTGGGCCCATCCCTAATCATAGAAATGTAAGACTGGAAGGGAGCTGAAGCGATTGCCTCTTGCAGCCCCCTGCACTGTGATGGGACCAGGGACATCTAGACCAGCCCTGACAGATGTTTATCCAACCTGTTTTGAAAAACCTGCAATGATGGAGATTCCACAACCTCCCTCGGAAGCCTATTCCAGACCTTAACTACCCTTATAGTTAGAAAGATTTTCCTAATATCTAACCTAAATCTCTCTGGCTGCAGATTAAACATGATTTCTTGCCCTACTTTCAGTAGACATGGAGAGCAATCTAACACCATCCTCTTTATAACAGCCCTTAACATATTTGAAGACTGTTATTAGGTCTCCCCTCGGTCTTTTTTCAAGACTAAATATGCCCAGGTTTTTTAACCTTTCCTCAGAGATCAGATTTATCATTTTTGTTGCTTTCCTCTGGACTCTCCAATTTGTCTGTATCTTTCTTAAAGTATCATGCCCAGAACTGGACACAGTACTCCACCTGAGGCCTCACCAGTGCTGAAGAGAGCAGGACAATTCCCTCTTGTGTCTTACATACAACACTCCTGTTAATACACCCCAGAATAATATTGGCCTTTTTTGCAACCGCAGCACATAGTTGACTCCTATTCAATTTGTGATCCACTATAACCCTCAGATCTTTTTCAGCAGTACTACTCCCGTTATGCAGCCCGTTATTCCCCATTCTGTAGCGATGCATTTGATTTTTTCTTCTTACTTTGCACCTGTCTTTACTACATTTCACCTTGTTGATTTCAGATCATTTTCCAACATCATTTTGAATTCAAAATCCTGTCTGAATTTCTAGCAACCATTCCTAGTTTGATGTCATCTTCAAATTATATAAGCATACTCTCCACTCCATTATCCAAATCATTAATGAAAATACTAAATCATACCAGACCTAGGCCAGACCCCTGTGGGATCCCACTAAATATCAATGGTTTGCTGTCAAACTATAACAACTCTGAGTACGGTCTTAAGGATTCATTGCGTGTGTGCACGTGTGCACAGTAGATGTGTGCTGTAATGTGAAGTCTCACCCTGTAGCCAACATCTTCTGTGACAACTGCTGTGTCGACGGTGCAGCCTGCCTGCCACAAGGTTTCCTTGATGCTGCAGCCGTAGAGGAACACGTTCTTCTTCTGGGAGTGGCCGTGATAGTCGCAGAATACCTGGAGATCAGAAAAAGGAATAACACTGACCATAAAACAGGAAGGATTCTAGCCCTTTAAATGGCAATGTGCTACAGTAGTGGGTTGACCAGTTGCTAAAAAAAAACCCATTTTTCAGAACTTCTCAGAGGCTCTCAGGCTATGGGGCATGCCCATAATGAACGCCAAACCCTGTTGATCAATTGTCATCAGCCTTCCCAGGCTCTGCCAGTCCACCTGATCCTGGAGGATTCAGAGAAGAGAGGGAGGTTATATGTTGCTCTGTTTGAAACACAAAGAACTGTGTCCCACCCACTGCCATCCATGGCAGTTCAGGATCCTACATGCATCTTATGATTCAATCAAAGGGAAGTTTGTCAAATTCCTTTGACTTCTAAACTTCAGTATTATCCTCTTGAGATCTAAAACCTGCACCCTATCAGGCAATCAATCTTCATTTCTTTAAGTTTTAAATCTGTACTATATAATTCGCAGAAAAACACATCCATGCTATTACACTAGTAGTTACTGCATATTGTTATGACATTGTATATATCCCCCTAAGCAAAGCACAGTAAGTGACCTATTTTACATAGTCTAATCAATCAATCTAATCCATCTCTTTAGCATCAGTCTTCGGGTAGCTAGGCGCTAAGCATATTCCCACTTTCAGTGAAATTTTAGATTGCCTTTATAAGCACATATCAAGTCCTCTACAAATGAAACTCAGGGTTTATTGGCCTACGAGGTAAATATTGACCCAGGCCTTGCAGAATAATCAATCTTGATGCTCAGTGAGATATGCATTGCTGTTATATATATTCTCCATGTCTTCATCAGAAATACTGGAAAATCCAATAAGGAAAGGAGTTTCAAAAGAAGAGCAATTGTTCTTTTTAAGCCAACATTCTAAATGGTCAGAAGAAGATAGTGCTCCAGCACAGTTTTATTCACTTTTGATAAGCCAACTGGAAAGCAAAGAGGAGCATCCAGATATCACTAGAAGAGAAACTTTAGAATAGACAGGCAGACAGACAGAAGCAGGAAGACGGAGGAAGAAATAAGCAGTGGGTGCAATCACAGTGGGTGATGTTTTGCCATTGACTTCAAGGGTCCAAGATTTCACCCAGTATATTTATCTACCTGATCATGTATTTACCTTTGACCCTTTAGAGACAATTAAGTTTTACTGAATTTAACTGCAGCCATTCAGGATGCAATTATTTGCACACTAGGTTCTGTCAGCTATGCCAGCCAGTCCAGCTTCGACTGCCCATGTCTGCTTCTCTCATGACCGCCTCTGCTCTTCCTCCCATGCATGAAAAAACTCCACATCAAACTTCATAAACTCACCACCTCATCCTCTTTCAATTTCTCCTTAACACCAAGTTCTGCCACAAAGTTTACAGATTGCTACCTCTGGCACTGATTAGTTAAGCAGCAAGCTGCAACTTCTGATTTCCAGGTAAACTATTTTATTGTTACCTAACCCTCACCAACATCTTTGTTTCATCCAATTGCTGCCTCCTGTTTAACACCTAGATTGTAAACTCTCTGGGGCACAGACTGTCTTTGTTACATGTCTGTACAGCACCTACCTTAATAGGGCCCCCATCCTTGATTAGGATTGCTTGGCTCTACTGGAATGGATTATTACTATTATTATCAGTTGGTTCTGTTTCATAACCATGTCTGTCTGAGAGGCAGGGGGGTGGATTTTTCCAGTGCAAGTTCCCAGTGTAGACAAGCGCTAAGAAAGTTGGCATGTCCTGAACATGCCAATCTAGAAGTATATTCTCAGATCCATAATGAAATAGCAATAATGCTGACACCTGGTGCACACAGGTGCAATAACAGGGAATTAAGTAAGAGGATCATTTCCCCAGTTTATAATGCAGATAATGCATGGAACACCCGAGCGCACTACTATCAGGGTGGAAGTAGTTGTGTGCCTACTGTTATGTCTCATCACAGGTAAGTTTTCAGCCAGTGAGGAGCCAGGATTTAACAATATGGCAAACAAAGACAAAATGTTAATACCTATCCCCCATTAGAGTTTTATGCAGCTGTCCCTGCTATGTCAACCAGGCCACCAAACCCATATCACCTAGCAGCAGGGCTGGCGCAACCCATTAGGCGACCTAGGCGGTCGCCTAGGGCGCTACAATTTGGGGGGCGGCGATCGCAGCGGTATTTCAGCGGCGGGACCTTCCGCCACCTCTGTGGGGGGCGGCATTTCGGGGCGGGACCTTCCGCTGCCTAGGGCGGCAGAAAAGCTGGCGGCGCTCCTGCCCAGCAGTGCTGCTGATCCCGTCACCCTCAGGCAGACCTCCAACACTTCCTCCTTCCAGCATCCAGCACTAGACGACTTTGTTACTATTTCTCATAAGGTGGTGTCCAGGCGACCCAGTCATTACTAAACTCCATTGTACTAAACTATAGGGAGACATGGAACTAGTCACATGTTTAAGGGCTTTGCTGCATCAGGGCCAGAGTATTCAGTGCCTCACCGGATTGAGCCCTATGGCAACATGCAGCCTACAAAGAGCAGGCAATGAGGATACAAATAAAGTATGCAATTTTTATACACAGTATGACTGGGATTTTCAAAGGAGCCTAGTTCAGTAGGAGTGGGGGAACCTAATTCGCATAGGCCCCTGAATGGGGGCCATCCCCCTAGCAGTCTGATGCAGCACTTGCTATTGCATCTCTGCCTCAGTTTCTGAGAGTGGGGATTTTAATAAGTCCAATGAGGCTTGTATATTGTACAACATCCCTTCAGGGGTCTAGTTTACTCTACTCCAAAGGCAGAACATCACACAAAGAGTCCGTATCTCTCTGTAGCTGGAGGGAGAAGTGGCTAAGTCAGCCTTCGTGTGTCAACCCCAGTTATGCCCAAGGTCCCTTACCAGTGAGGCCTTCATGAGCCAGGACACTCCTCTGGAGCCAGAGACTTCTTGTGACTAGCTGGGAAAGGGTCTCTTCTCTTAGGCCAAAGTCCCCACAGAGACCGAACCATGACAATCCTTCCTCAGGACAGCATATCATTCCTTTTTTTCCTAGGGCTTCTGCTGTTGCCTGGTGAATTCTTTCCTGGGAGCCAGGTTTCTCTGAGACTCAGCATTCATAGTCCCTGCCTTCTGGAAATGCTCCTACCCAGAAGCATTTTTCCTTGGTTTCCTTCGCTGGTGAACCCTTCACCACCTTCCCCCGAGAAGCCTTTACCATAGGAACCGTCTCTTCCTACATCTTGGGAATTATTCTCTCCCCTAGGAGTCTCTGTTCCCCTAGAACAGTGGTTCCCAAACTGGGGTTCGGGAACCCCTGGGGGTTCGCAAAATGTTACAGGGGGTTCTCAGGAAAAAATTCCCTAATGGCGGACAGAGTTGTCCCAGCAGCCCAGAGCCCCTGGACTTCCAAGAGCTAAGCAGATCAAAGGAAGCATATCTATCACACTGAGGAGATTTAAACTTCAAGACTCCTTATAAGAAATGGAAAGGATGGTGGATATTTTTTGCTGGTTTTAAAATTAAATAGGCAGCTAGTATTGTTTTTAAAATTATTATGAAGAACAAGTTTAAGCTTTGTTGTAACGTGCGTTGTTTGCCTGGACTGCTCAAGCCCTGAATGCTTGTGTAGGAGGAACTCTTTGAGTTGGCTTCTTAAATACCTTCATGCTGTTTCACATCTGATACTCCTTGATGAAACATAGAAGCCTTGTCTTATAACAGACTTATTCAAAGTGATACAAGCTATGAAAGTGAGATCTTGGAAGAGTGTTGCCATTTTCATAATGTAATAAAAATACTGTAATGATAAATAATAATTAATAATACAGAGTGTGTAATAAGCATGTCATAAAAACAAATTTTATATTTCCAAGATCACTGCTCTTATAATTTATACTCAGGTAAAGGAGAAAATCCCTGGAAATATTCATTTTTAGGAGGGGGTTCGCGAGACTTGACATTTTAGTGAAAGGGGTTCACAGGTTGTTAAAGTTTGGGAACCACTGCCCTAGAAGATACCCCAGGAGCAGCTTCCTTTTATCTTGGCCAGGTGCTTCCCTGCCTAATTAACTGCCTCTCAGTAACTCAATGAGTTGACCAATCCCAGGTGAACCTAGAATTGCCTCATTCTCCCTTGTGAAGCCTGTCAGAGGTAGGCCCCTGGCCCCGTCAAAGGGCCAGCTACCCTCTGACAGCCCCTTAAAATAGCCCAGCCTTGCACACATTGGGGGTGGTGGGTTAATATGTAAATATGCATGAACCACACCCAGCTGCCCTCAACCAGCCCCTAATTATCTGGCTAATTAAATGTAGTGTCCCAAGTAACAACTTACATGGGTGGTCTGTTATCCAAAGCTTGCCCATGTCCTGTCCATTCCCTGATTCTGCTGCCTACAGAACTCCACTGCTTGCACCTACGCTCGCCTGTCCCCAGAATGTTGTGCCCTCATTCCTGACACATGGAGATCAGCTTGCTTCCCAGCAGTGAGTCCACTGCATTATTTACACCATTCTCACTAGATGATGAAGGCAAGGGGAGGACTGTGAGCACTGCAAAATCGGATGCAGATCCACAAACGGCAGCATTTCCAATTAAACAAACCCAGTTTTGCACAGACCCTGGACATGCAGCCCGCACCTGTCTGCATATATTTTGCAGAGCTATATGTAATCCATGCACTGTGAAGTAACTCCATCTGCGATGTTTTCAATTACCCTAAAATGGCCCCATCCAAATGGCTGCATTTACTACTTCCTTTAATAACAGAAAGACACTTTTCCAGCTAGTGTTTCATCTAAGCTATCCGTGACATTCAGTCATAGTTTAGGTTAACCACAGGTACTATGTGGAATTTATTCCTATGAATATCAGAGGATTTTATAGTTTCCATTCTATTTTGAGGCAGAACTCCAAGCTCAACTGGATATCAATTACCTGCATATTACTAACATGCAAAAGGCACATACATTATCTGCTTAAAATATTATTTTACATATTAGAAAGCACTGAGGGATATGCAGCTAGTCAGACAACAACATTGCCTGAGTGGTGCTAGCCCTATAATTTTGCATCTAGAGAATCCCACAGATGAATCCTAATTGGTAGGGCTGAAATGGGCCTGCTAGGTGATCCATTCCCACCCACCTGCAACAATGCAAGATTATCATCTACACCAGTGTTTCTCAAACTGGGGCTGCCGCTTGTGTAGGGAAAGCCCCTGGTGGGCCGGGCTGGTTTGTTTACCTGCTGTGTCCGCAGGTCCGGCCAATCGCGGCTCCCACTGGCCGCGGTTCACCGCTCCAGGCCAATGGGGGCTGCTGGAAGCGGCGTGGGCCGAGGGACGTACTGGCCGCCGCTTCCAGCAGCTCCCATTGGCCTGGAGCAGCGAACCACGGCCAGTGGGAGCCGCGATCGGCCGGACCTGCGGACGGGGCAGGTAAACAAACCGGCCCGGCCCACCAAAGGCTTTCCCTGAACAAGCGGCATCCCCAGTTTGAGAAACACTGATCTACATTGATTACTGTGGGACTGTCTGCAGTATCTGCCCACGGAGCCTTATCCCCTTCAGTTGCCATTAGCTTCAAACGGCAGCAGGGTCAGTATCACTGTAGCTATTTATGGGCAGTTCCATTTGAAAGTTGTACAGAAGGCACTGAAAACGTGTTTTCATTTTGATTAAACTCACTTCATCGTGTGATTTCCATGGGGGGAAGGGGGGTTCCCGCCCATGTTCCTGTGACTTTACAACACTTCCCTATCACCCCCTGACGGTCCCACCTTTTCTATCACTGGGGTGTCCTTCTTGGTTCAGCCGACATAGAAGCCAACATAGAAGCCAACTCTGTAGCCTGATAGCAGAGCTTCAACTGAGACATCTAAGCGTGGACAGAGAATGAACCTGGGAGTAAGAGGCAACCAGCCTCTGCTCTAGCTAGGACAGTGTAACTCATGCCGCACAATCAGACTCCAAAACGTGCCACCCTTCTCACCCCCCAAGGAATTAGTCAAGTCCAAGGTAAGAATTGGCAGTATACTCACTTTTGCCAACTCTCACACTTTTATCACAAGTCTCACCGTATTTTTATTACGACCCTGGCTGCCAGAGACAAGTTATTCCCTGCAACTCTCAGCTTTCATTAAAAAAAGAAAGAGAGAAAGAGAGAAAAAAAGAAAAGTTTCTAGCCCTCGTGGCCCCAGAGAAAATCTTGAAAATGTGACACCAGAGGCAAATAAAAAGACAATCCCTAAATATTATCATGGTTGGGGGGGGCCTGACTCATCGCACTTGGGTTGGCAATACTGCATTTCAATCAATTTCAGGCAGAGCCCACTGGCTTCAAAGAATGATAAAGGCTCAGATTGTGGCTTTAGGACATTTGGTGGTAGGAGCCATGAAGCAGCAGGGCTAGAGGGAGAGGGAAGAATTATATCTTACTCCTCCATAATTCCTTCTCGGGCTCAGAAAGGAGGCAAAGCACTGCAGTATCTCTGCCTCCCGCCGACCCTTTCTCATAGCCCTATCTTCGTCCCAGCCCACCCACCCTGGGGACTCTCCCATTCAGGTCTCTGGCAGTAGGCTCATAGGGAGAGTCAGCTGACAGTGCAGTACAGCTGGTCAGAATACAGAAACCAAGTTTCACAACAGTTTCACAGATGGCTTTTTCAAAAGGGGCCAGTTCTTTGTTGTTCTTCAAAACTTTTCCACAGGATTATTTTTTATCCAATTTTTTTGTAAACATTTTCAAAGATCGGAATTTTCAAAAGTGATTTTTTTTTCTATCTCCCAAGTTTTGGTTTTGATGTTGAAACCCCCTTTCCTCATGATTAAAAGACCAATGAAAATTGTCAATGTTTTTTTTTAAAAAAAAGGAAAATTAAAACCAAAAATGTTAAATAAGCAATTTTGTCAAAAAATGAAAAATATCGAGAAAATCAAAAAGAGACAAGGTGGGTGAGGTGATACCTTTTATTGGACTGACTTCTGTTGGGGGAAGGGACAAGTTTTTGAACGCCACGGAGCATTTCTTCAGGTCTGGGGAAGGTAACCAGAGTGTCGGAGCTAAATACAAGTTGGGACAGATTGTTCGGCATAAGGGGTTCAGATATGCTGTAGGAGAGCACTTAAAATAAAGTGGGCTACTGAGGTTTGGCAGGCAGCAGAGTGTATCACAAATTGTTGTAATGAGTCATAAAACCAGTGTTTCTCTTTAGTCCATGCGTCTAGCATTATTAAGTTCCCAAGCTCATCTTTTGAAGGTGTGCAGATTCCTTAGAGGAGGAGAACTGAGCGGTCAGATATAGAGCAATTGCTTTGTAAAAAGTATCAGAGGGGTAGCTGGGTTAGTCTGTATCTGTAAAAAGCGACAGAGAGTCCTGTGGCACCTTATAGACCAGGGGTCGGCAACGTTCGGCACGCGGCTCGCCAGGGTCAGCACCCTGGCAGGCCGGGCCAGTTTTATTTACCTGCTGACACGGCAGGTTCAGTCTATCGCAGCCCCCACTGGCCGCGGTTCGCCGTCCCGGGCCAATGGGGGCGGCGAGAAGCGGTGCGGGCGAGCGATGTGCCGAACATTGCCGACCCCTGTTATAGACTAACAGACGTATTGGAGCATAAGCTTTCGTGGGTGAATACTCACTTCGTCAGATGCATGTAGTGGAAATTTCCAGAGGCAGGTAGAAATATGCAGGCAAGAATCAGTCTAGAGATAACGAGGTTAGTTCAATCAGGGAGGATGAGGCCCTCTTTTAGCAGTTGAGGTGTGAACTCCAAGGGAGGAGAAACTACTTTTGTAGTTGGCTAGCCATTCACAGTCTTTGTTTGACACCATCAGCTCAGGATTAAACAAAGTCTCTGGTTAACAGATGAGTTTTGAGCTAAGATACCTTTCCAGAGACCCAAAGCTACTGGCTAGTTGTTAACTATGAAACATCCTGTTCCCATTGAAGTGAATGGCAAAAATGATCAGCAAAGCACTGAAACTAATGGGACTTCAGCTTGTGCATAAAATTATGCACATGATAAAATGACGTGTTGAAACAGGGACTAAATCAGATGAGGTATGTAAAAGATGACAGTGTGGCCGACGACACTGACTGGGCTGAATATCCAATATCAGACTAGGCAGGTGGAAGATGACGTAATGGCCCATTCCACGACTTTGTTACTCTGTGAGCAACATTTAGTATTCAGCTGTTTCTCAGCTGCCTTTCAGATGGTCCCAGCTGGAAACAGGAGCATGCTGCCATACTTATGGCTAATTAATGTTTATTTATATTTTTAAACAAGCCTTCCACTTGTCATATGTTCACATAAACCTTTTCCTTTTCCACTAGGGGCTGTTGGAGCCAGGGCCGGCTCCAGCATTTCTGCCGCCCCAAGCAAAAAAAAAAGCCGCGATCGGCGGCGGCAGTTCAGCGGCAGGTCCTTCGCTCCTAGAGGGAGTGAGGGACCTGCTGCCCCCGAATTGCCGCAGGTGCCGCCCCTCTCCCTTGGCCACCCCAAGCACCTGCTTGTTAAGCTGGTGCCTGGAGCCGGCCCTGGTTGGAGCACAAGCCGAAATCCTTGGTTTACTCATCACAAACCTAGTCTGAGTGCCAGTCTGGTGGAGGTTTCTTCTCCACTCCTTGCTGCGTTTCATGCTGAGGGCTTTCAGCCAAAGGGGAGAAGAGGAGACTACCTTCCCAAGACAGAGAAGCACAGAAGTTCATTCCCTTTTGGAGCTGGTTACTATGCTGCCGTGAGATCTTTGCAAACTCTCTCCCCACTCCACCAGCAATGGTCTGAAGAAAACACTAATGATGGATAATACTTGGCACAGATCTAGCACTTTTCATCTGAAGACTCAAAGAGCTTTATGAAAGGTGGGCATTGTAATCCCCATTTTACAAAGGAGAACACTTTGCCCAGAGAGGCGAGGTTATTTGCCCAACATCACTTAGGGAACCAGTTGCATGCTCAGAAATCAGATCAAGATCTCCTGACTCCCAATCTCCTGCTTTAAATACTGCACTAAGACGCCTGCCTTCACAGCAAACGCTGCAGGAACCCTCTAAAATACTTAGGGGATCCCAAGTAGGTACAAAGTGGCATCCTGTCATCAGGCAATTTGTTACTTCAGGGCTCTGCTATCCCAGATAGCATGGATTTGGGGGACAGAACTTCCAGAAACTACATCTCAACTTCAGCTCTCCTAACCTTAAACTTCCCCCCGCCCCCCAGCCAGTGTGCTCTCCAGACTGGGCAAGGGCATCAGAACATAGGGTTGTTGGTTAGAAGGGCCGATAGGCAGTAAACTATCCCACTGAAGTGATGGTCTCCAAGCTCTTCCCCACTTCCCGAGTAATGTAGCACTGGAATGTTTCCAGATCTCCCCAGACCCCTTCTCTCTTAGACCTGAACTGTACAGTACATGAGTCTTTTGGGAAGGCTGCAACAAATGAGCAGTGCAGGGGTATTAATACAAGGGAAGACAGAAATGACTCACCAGTGGAGCCCGGCCAACGCTGCACAGGTAGTAGAGGAGGCCCTTGGTGTGATAAATGGTTGGATGGAGCTGGCAGCTGGGAGCCAGCCACTGTCTATTCAGGTCATCCCCACTCAAGGAACACCGGTGGCTGGAATCACAGGACAAAACACACCCCAATTAAACTAACAAAACAACTCTGTGGTTTCAAAATGTGCAGTTTCTGGATACTCCCTGTACTAGGGCAGGCTTAGCTTGTGAGGCTAATTCATATATATATATCTAGATTTCATAGATGGGCTTGAATGAACTAAAACTCCACAGAAGCTTATTTTAGAGGGGTCTGAAAAGTATTCATTATCCATTTCCTTTCCCCGCAGGGCCTGCTCAGTTAGATTCTAGGTAACGAACGCAGTTTTGATTTACATACGCACTCATATTAAACAGGACTAATACTCTTATTTTAAACTCTCTAAAACATTGCTAAAGTCTGATGTCAAATACAGAATCCATCATGGTCTGTGGAGGTATAAAGGGTGGGTTTTCCAAAGCCAACATGGGGCATAGGAATGCCCAATCATCAGTCATTATCGTTGGAACTGGAAAATCAGTCAGGCCCAGTTGAAAATCTATAGGCACCTGCATGGGATGAGCAGAATCAGGGCCGGCTCCAGCTTTTTTGCTGCCCCAAGCGGTGGGGGGAAAAAAAGAGAGAGATAGAGAAAAAAAGACGATTGAGCTGCTGCTGAAGTGCCGCCGAAGAGGAATAGAGGGAGTGAAGGACCCGCCACCGAATTGCCGCCGAAGACTGAAGCGAAGTGATTGAGCTGCCACCAAATTGCCGCTGCAGACCTGGACGTGCCGCCCCAATAATGGATGGAGTGCCGCCCCTTTCTATTGGCCGCCCCAGGCACCTGCTTCCTTTGCTGGTGCCTGGAGCCGGCCCTGAGCAGAATATCTCATGCATGGTTTCTCCACTCATGAGAAATGCAACCATCTCAAACACATATCAAGAATATCAAGAACCAATAAGATCTTTATGCTATACAGCACTGTTATAGAAAACAATTGGCTTTAGTGGGAATTTGACTTCACTGTAAGCCCTTACTACTATAAAACCTAAGTAAGGACCTCGGGGTTTGGACCATAGAGACTTTTACCTTAGCTCAGTCGAACTTTCCTCTCAGATTCTGTTTCACTGGCTAATACACTGTGCTAGATGTTTGATTGCATGGAGGGGAATTTGCATATCTTAGTGCAATTATGCAGATCTGAGTGATCTCCTTTATAGTGACTTTGTTTTAGTTCCAAGCATCCTCACTCTACACAAAGGTTTAACTCTAACTGGGATTGCAATTCGCAAATTGTGATGCATTGATAAAGTTTAGGCCCGCCATTAGATCTGCATTCATGATAAGATCTACCATATTCAAATCAACCACATCTACTGTAGAAGCCTTACTGTTAGCTTAGTAAACTAGAGCTGGAGTGTGCTCGAAGGTATGTATTCTAAACATCACATGGAATTTCAGCCACACAACTCCATCTGACTTTAACAGGAGATGCCATGTTCCACCATTTCTCCCACTACACTGAATGTTCCAGCCCTCTAACAACACAGTATGTAGAAACACACCACCATCATGTGTGTATGAATGAGATTTCATATTTCACAGGCAAGACTTTACACTGTTAAATTTCACCGGTTAGGTTGCGTTGCACACACCTTCAGCACCATCAGTGCTTGATAGAAAATGTTTGGAGGGAAGAGGCTCCAAAGCCTATTCAGAGCCTTTGGAGAGGAGCAGAAGCAATGGAATTCTGACAAGAGGGAAAAGGGTATAGAAATAGTAGAATCCACAGAGAATGTTATATTTATACACACACACAACGTAGAAAAACAAGGCTCTGATGCCACCTTGGGGTTTCTGGTGACATCACAACATCCATTCCAGTTTTGCTGTTGTCACCTAAATTCCCCTTTCCCTTGAATTCACAGTTCCCTTGCTACTCATTCTGCAATTTGCAAAACATTTGCAATAGCTAACACCCTGGAAGCCAGAATTTGCTGGTGTGATAACTGCTGCTGAAAAACTTCTAGCTCAAAACTTGGCAATCTAGTGTAATGTTCATTTGTGGCCCTTCACATAAAGTTAACCCAAGCCTCACCTTTCCTCATTTTCTTTACAGTGGCAGCTCTGCTAAGAGGAACAACCATGCTTTCACCCTGGGTGCTTAATGCATTGCTAGCAGGCTACCTCTGAAGAGTGATATCACCATGCAAAAGTCACCGGTTACACGGGGTGGCACTCACTCCATTTGCAGGTGACTGTGGAAAAATAAGATCCAGATTCTTCCTTGAGTGGCATGTCCTCCCATGACCACTTAAGTCAACGAGTAGAACTGATAAAAAAATAGAATTTCCATCCCATTGGAAACGGAAATATTTTGGACATTTATTTTTATTCCGAATCAACATGAAAATCAAAATATTAATAGTTTTCACAGAATAAAAAATGCCAAAAGAAATTGAATTTAGAAATAATGAAATATATTGTTTTGAAATTTTCAGTCTAAACACAATGTTTCAATGTTCCCAAAAAGAAACCTTTCATTTCAGGTTGGGTCAACAATAATCTGTGTTTGCCTGAGCTGCCATAGTCTCCTCCTCTAGCTGAGCCACCATGGTGCATGAAGGGAGTCCTATGAGCATAGTGCATCATGGGAGATGAAGTCCAACCAGCGAAGCCCAGCTCATAAGGAACAAGGGGATAATGATACAATTGAACTACTACTCCCAGGACGGACAGAAGCTGCTCAAGCAGATGCAGAGATTAATGTCAAACCACCTCTACACTAATATTTTGTTTCAATTTTTCTGTCAGAAAACATTCTGCAAAATTGACATTTTTCTTACAGAAAATTTCAGTTAAATGGAAATCACATTTTCTATTGAAAGAAAAAAAACATTTCTATGAAAAACTCCCAATCACTTCTATCAGTGGGAGCGGCTCGCCAAATCCAAGGAGAGAATGTAACCCAAAACCACAGAATTTAGTAGCTCTTGCCATGGAGTCTGGTCCCACAGTGACACAGAGTACACAGGGCCTTCCTTGTAATATATCGCTTAAGCTGTTTGATTGAGTGGAGCAGACTTTGTATATTTCAGTGCAAATATACAGCTCTGAGCTAACCCTCCTGCAGTGAATTCCTTTTAGTTCAGAATATCCTTACATCCTTGCGAAGGTTTCACTCTCACCAAGATTGCAACTCACAAATTGTGTTGCACCGATACAAGTCAGGGCTTTTCTTAGATCCGAGTTCAAGATTATCTGAGCTCACCAAATTTACAACCCTCCTGGTGAATGCTTATTATTAGCTCATTAAATTTAGTACAACTGCTTTTAAAAAAATCCAGAAGCCCTTGTTCAGTACAATTGTTCTCAACGGATAGCATGCGTCTCCATGGTAGTTCGTTACAAAGCGATGGTTATGCCATGAGTGTGTAAAACAACACATTGCCAACCAATAAGGGCCTGTGCATGGGGACAGGAGTGGGACAGTTGAATTCAGTCTCCTCTTTTCAATCATTACTATCTTTGCTCTTTTAAACCATCTTTAAATATTAGCACTATTGCCTGTCAGTCCATAGTCACTGCCTCTGGGTTGCTGCAAAGCTTTAATTATGAGACGATGATTCTTTTTTTCCATTAAAGCATGTTTACTTCAGTGACTGCTTCATGCCATCCCTCTTCCCTATTTTCTTCCTTTCTTCTCTCCCTCTCCTACTACCGATGACATTTGCCGATAAGAGCTTTGTCCCTTATGCTCGGCAGCCAAGGGTGAAGGTAAAATATTAAGCTGATCTCAAGTACTGATAACAAATAAAAGGAGTGGGAAGCCAAGACTTTTGTGTGTTTGCCAGAATTCAATGAAATTCGCTTCTCAGATCAAAGGTGTTCATTACCTTGCATCTCCAAGTTACTAGATTTGTTGTAAATGCTTTGTGTCTTCTTCCCTTAGCAAGAGTCCTTGCCACCTTGGCTAGGGCTAACTGGAACTTAACGGAAACAATGAAAGCATTTCCCTCTGAAAGATTTCCAACATGAAAAAAAAAAGTCTGCTCTGTGTGTCTTTGTACGGGTTAGCTGTAATTCAGCTATTTGTTAGAGTTTCAACCAAATGTGTTATCCATACATTAAATCCTTGGTAAACACACTTTTGTTGTTCACAAACCTGATGCTATGCATTGGCTTTAGATCCATGTTCTCTGAGCTCTTCTATGTTTAAACACTGGGGAATCTCTATGGTCTAGAGCAGTGTTTCCCAAACTTGGGACGCTGCTTGTTTAGGGAAAGCCCCTGGCGGGCCGGGCCGCTTTGTTTACCTGCTGCGTCCGCAGGTTCGGGCAATCGCGGCTCCCACTGGCCGCGGATCACTGCTCCAGGCCAGTGGGAGCTGCTGGAAGCGGCGCAGGCCGAGGGACGTACTAGCCGCCACTTCCAGCAGCTCCCATTGGCCTGGAGCAGCGAACCGCGGCCAGTGGGAGCCGCGATCGACTGGACTTGCGGATGCAACAGGTAAACAAACCGGCCCGGCCCGCCAGGGGCTTTCCCTAAACAAGCGGCGTCCCAAGTTTGGGAAACACTGGTCTAGAGAGAGTCATTGAATAAGGGGCAGTGCGTAGCTACCAGAAGGAGCTGTGGGAAAGGAGACAGTCTCTGAGGCACCATTTCGCCTTTCCTCCTCCTTGTGATAATTGTGTGCTCATGCCACTGGTGAAGGGAAAACAACACTCCTCACCGTCCCCAATGTACAATGAGGCTGTAAGAGCAGTAGGGGTATCTATGTGACTCATGAGAAAGCACAGGTGAAAATTTATACAACAGAGGATATGGAGGCATTTGAAGACAAGAGATCCTCTGGTTCCTACTATGGATATGTCTGTGAATGGATATAAGGCATAATGCAAAGGTGTTTGCGCAATGACACATGACATGAGAAAGCTTCCAGTAGCCACAACTTCCTACGAAGACAATCACGTCTGCTCTCTCAGATGTGCTTTGCCCCGACGTAGTGCTGAGTTAGCTCTTGTCTCCTTGATAAATAAGAAAAGGGCAGGTGCCATGGGAAAAGGTGGATCTGAACAAG